TCTCAAGATTAAAAGAAAAAATCCTAAGTGAGTAAAACATGGTACATTAATACAATGTGCTGTTATTACATAGCCATTAAAGTGATTCTGAGGATTTCTATGTATTATTGTTTTGGTTTGTTGTTTAGCAATATGGTAAGTATTTGTCTTAGTTACCTAGTGCTGCTATAACAGAAACACCATAAGTGGATGGCTTTAACAAACAGAAATTTATTTTCTCACAATTTAGGAGGCTAGACGTCTGAATTCAGAGCACCTGCTCAAGGGGAAGGCTTTTTCTCTCTGTCAGCTCTGAAGGAAGGTCCTTGTCTCTTCAGCTTCTGCTTACTAGTTCCTTGGAGATCTCCAGGTGGCTTGGCATCAGTCTTCCCCCATCTCTCCTCACTGGCTTGCTTGTTTAATCTCTTTATATCTCAAAAGAAATTTGACTCAAGATACACCCTCTGCTAATCCTGCCTCATTAACATAACAAAGACAACCCATTCTCAAACGGGATTATAACCACAGACATAGAGGTTAGGATTTACAACACATATTTTGGGGGACATCTTTCAATTCATAACAGTGTTCAAACTGTTAAATGGCTGGAATGAAGTCTCTTAGGATATAAGAAATACTGTAAATATTTAATTCTGTGCAACTTCTTTCTCCCCTACATCTTATTATCACTCCTATCCAGAATATATTGCATACGATTCCCCCATCCTCTAAACATAATTATAAATAAACACTGCTTAGTAGTAAAATAAGCCCAAGGAAGAAAATCCTATTTTTTCTCTTGATGTCTACATCAATTTTTAAATAACAAATTCTATCCAAAAATTTATTTTTGGTATGTTGACTTTACATGTGCCATTAGCATATTCTTGGTCTATGTGTCTGTGTAATCCTCATTCCCTGTGCTCATTCTTCTCTCAAAACAATAAGAGAGATGGGAATAGTCATCACAACGTGAGTTATAATTATAGGAAACCTCAACAATTATTCCCTAATTCCTGAAGATTCTTCCCAACTTTTCTTACTATGTTGGTACTAATGCTATGGCTTACTGTCATGTTTAGAGATGATGGATGATGCGTCTACAATTCAATCAAGAAGTTAAACAACAAAAACAAAACAACAAATGTCAGGCCGTTTTATTTCAGTAAGAAAATATTTCAGTAGGAGAGTATGAGTGAGGTCATAGTGTCAGGGTTGGAGAAGCTTCATTATGTGTTTAAAGTTCTCCCCCTTGGTTCTTAGTGTAAATATAGCCATTTCTTAAACTATGGGACTTTGTTTTGACATTCTTATGTCTCTAGTACCTAGAACAGAAGGTCCCTGGCTGGTGCAAATGGTTTATGTTTGACTACTAGCCTAAAGGTTGACGATTTGAACTGACTCAGAGGCACCAAGGAAGAAAGGCCTGGCAATCTGCTTCCATAAAGATTACAGCCAAGATAACCCTATGGAGCAGTTCTGTTCTGTAAGACATGGTGTCACCATAAGTTGGAATGGACTTGATGGCAATGGGTTTTTTATTTCTAGACACTCAATATTTGTTCACTGCCTGGCAGGAGCATCCAAATCGCTTTGTGCTTCAGCGGTCATCACTCGATTGTTTTGTTTGTTTGTTTAAATAACTATTTTTCTGATGAAGAAAATAATGCTTGTTTTCAAAAATTTGAAAAATATAATAAATTACCAAGAAACAGCAATTGTTAACATTTCGATATGATCTTTCCAGATTTTTTTCTGTGCATATGACATTACTTTTATAAAACTGGGATTATTTCCTACACATTGTTTGTAAATCTACCTTTTTGTTTAACAATATTCATGTATAAATTTCCATACCATTAAATATTCTTTTACAACATTGCTTATGACTGAATGATAATCTAACCTATGGATGTTCTATAGTGTATTTACTATTGTAGATTCAGGTTGTCTCTAACTGTTCTCTATAACAAATCATACTAAAATGAATATATTTGTAATTCTTTGTCCACTTCTATTATTTAATTCATTCAACAAATATTTACCAAATGCCCACTATTTGTCCCTGCCCTTGTGTAATTTAGGAGCACTGCTGGTGCAGTGATTAAAGAGCTCAGCTGCTAACCAAAAGGTCGATGGTTTGAACCCACTAGCTACTGTTCGGGAGAAAGATGTGCCAGTCTGTTTCTGTTAAGATTTATAGCCTTGGAGACCCTATGGGGCAGTTCTACTCTGTCCTATAGTATCGCTGTGAGTCGGAGTCGATTCGCCGGCAATGGGTTTTGTTTTGGGTTTGTGTTGTTTATATTCTAGTGTCTTAGAATAATATTCTAGAAGTTGAAATTGCTGGTGAGAGGACATGAATATTTTAAGAGTTTTAACATGTATTGGAAACTTGCCCTCCAGAAGAGTTTATCAGTGTATGCCCTGGAGCAATGTCTAATAGTGCTTGCTTCCTTGTTCACCCATCTACACAAGATATTGTGTTTTTCATTTTTGCCAATTGGAGACACAAAGACATTTCATTTTTAATTTGCATTTCTTTGTTTACTGGTGAAGTTGAATATTTTTTATGCTTATAATCACAATAATTCTGCTAGGCTGATTTTTTTTCATTTTATTGATTAGAAAGCCAAAGTTCAGAAAAATAATTTGTCTAGAACCCCACAACCAATAAGTGATAGAGCTGGGATTTTAGTCTAGGTCCATGACTCTAGGACCAACTTTTTTGCTATTTTGCTATATTACCCCTTTTTTGATTTTCCAATTTGGGCTAAAAGTTCAGAGTCGCAATGCATTTGTTTGTAGAACCCTTAAAGACAATCAAATTCCACCCATGATTTTATAGATAAGAAAAATGAGACTCAAATAAATTATCTCTTTATAACCTCTCAGACCCTTCAAATCCTTCCATTTAAAATGTTCACGCCTGGGTATGTATTGTAAAAGATTGGGTAAATTCTGGGAGATGACATGGTCACTGGAAGGGCTGTGATTAATTCAGACCCTCCCCACTCCTGATTTGTTGCTCTTTTTGACTGTGCAGTCCCAATTCTTTCTTTCTTTCCCTTGATAAACTTGAACTCTCTTCTAATAAACAATAATGAAAATAATAATAGTAGAGTGCTTACCATTTGGCAGATATTATCCTTTGCTCTACATATGCATTATCTTATAACAAAGAAGCTATCCTCATCTTGCAGTTGAATGATTTGCCCAAGATCACACAACTATTAAGTGCTGGGCCTAGAATTCAAACACAATCTGATTTCAGACTTTGAGTCAGGAAAGTCAAATATAGAAAAACAAATTGCAGCCCAGGCTTATTGTTGAAGACAGTTGGGGATTGTAGATTAATTTAAAAGTGTTAACTAGGATACATGTAGGAGGAGATAGGAGCAATGGGAATGAAGAAGATCTGGCTATCTAGAAGAATGAGATCTATGGAAATAACACCAGTTTATTCACTCACTCACTTATTACACAAATACTTACTGAATGTCTATTATCTGCCAGACACTTTCATTGGCAGTGGAGATAATCAGACAAAAAGATAACAGTTCTGATCCCCAAGAAGTGTATTGTCAGGAAGGGAGGAAGGCAAACACAGTGAGATACACTGTGATAAGTGCTATCATGAATGCCCACTCAAGGCTCTGTGGGAGAAGGAAGAAGAAGCATTGAAACCTATTTGGGCAAGTCAAGAAAGTCTTTGCGGTGGAAGTGACCTTTGAACTTGGTCTGTGAAAAGGTTTGAAATTAAATGAGCTCATGAGAAAACTACAGATAGGTTGTGTCATTAGAGCATCAACACTGAGGATGGTAAAAAAAAAAAAAATATATATATAAACCAGTTGCTTTGAGTCAGTTCTGACTCATGGCAACCCCTGGTGTGTAAGAGTAAAATTATGCTCCATAGGGTTTTTAATGGCCGATTTTTTGGAAGTAGATCACTAGGCCTTTCTTCCAAGGCACCTCTCGGTGGACTGGAACCTTCGACCTATCAGTTAGCAGCGATTCCTTAATGTTTTGTGTCACCCAGTAACTCCTCAATGATGGTGGGTGGGTGAAAGTGAGACTAGCTAGAAATATGGGTGCCAGGTCAAGAAAGTTTAAATTTTATCCTGTAGATGATGGGAAACTATTGCGTATTAGATGCAATATTTTGTTTTTCCTTTGGGGGAAACAAGTTTTTATAATAGGTGATATAAAATAATGTATAATGATAAAGTCCCTGTTCTCAAAATGTTTGAAAATTGTATTGGTGTTCAATATAAGCCAGTTCTTCCACGTTGTTGTTGTTGTGTGCCATCGAGTCGATTCCCACTCTTAGAGACCCTATAGAGCCGAGTAGAATTGATCCATAGGGTTTCTAAGGAGCAGCTGGTGGATTGGAACTGCTGACCTTTAGTTAGCAGCTGTAGCTCTCAACCACTGCGCCACCAGGACTCTAATTCTTCCATAGCATTTGAAAATCTTTTAGTAGTTTGGCCAAAAAAAAAAAAAAACCCAAACCATACCAAACCAAAAAAAAAAAGACAAACAAAAACACAAATTGATAGATGCTGCCATATTTAAACTCAGTCAACTCAATGCCTTTTCATATATAGTTCTCTCAGCTTTAGATGCCTGCTTGTCTCGCTGAAAAATGTCTACTTCAGTTCTGAAGCTATCTCCCCTGTGAACGCTTTATGTGTGCTTACTACGTGGCAGGCATTGTGTTGGGTACTCCAAACATATCATCTTATCAGATTCCTACAGCAAATTAGAAAGTCAGTTTTTATTTTCAGTTGAGAAAACTACAGTTTAGGAAGGTTAAGTGACTTGCCCAACATCATATAGCTAATAAGTGATGGAACCAGAATTAACCTAGTCAGTCTGATTCTTAATCGGGAAGGGCAAAGGGCAATGAACAAAATTCATTCCCTTTTAAAACAGAGTTCTTCTTCGTTGGCTTAGTTTTTCACACCAATGTGGATATACCTCTATTAGAAATTTACCTATGTATTCATCTAATTAGACAGTGAATTGTAAGACTATGAATCATTCATTACTGCATATCTAGTACCTGTCTCAATGACTTCCACATAATAGCTGCTCAATAAATGTTTGTTAAATTAATAAGTGCTTGTCTCCTTTGCACTCTATCTACTACTCACAAACCTCAGATTGTTGCAGGGTTTATGTTAATGCATTGGTAATCTTTGTTTTGTGAATTTTTTCTGAAAGAGTAGAGTAAGGGAAGTGAAAAAAATTCTGTGTCTTGTCACATCCAATTGCCTTAAAGGAGCTGGGAAGAGAGCAATTCACACTTGATTATCTTAAAGCAGATAAATTAGCAGCGCTTGAATTGCTGGGCAGTCTGGTGCTAGAGCTCTTCTGAACCTGAACAGTCAGCTCTGTTTCACCTCAGAGGCCATGCGTCCTTCCCTTTCAGTCTTGGCTCTTGGCATTCTGCTAACCTTGGCCTTGTGCCAGCCATTCCAATTTCAAGAACACGTCCTTCTCCAATTTCTGGGCCTAGACAAGGCGCCTTCACCCCTGAAGTTCCAATCTGTGCCTTATATCTTGAGGAAAATCTTCCAGGATCAAGAAGCAGCAGCAACCACTGGGGTCTTCCAAGACTTATGCTATGTAAAGCAGCTGGGTGTTCGTGGGAATGTACTCCGACTCCTTCCAGACCAAGGTAAGAACATTGAAGTGCCAACCCTCTACCCCGAGAAAATCTGGTAGTGGGCAGTGTGAAGAAAGGAAAGGAGAGGAGAAATAACAATTACTGAGTTGGCTTGTAGAAAGCCAGTGTACTGGATATTTTGCATATTTTATCTCATTTAACTCCAATCACAATCCTGAGAGGAAGGCAGTTATTCTTATCAACTTTTTAACAATAAGGAAATTAAGGCTCAGACGGTAGGTAATCCATAACCTATCGAGTGAATAGCGTCAGGATTCAATAGGTTTTTCTGAATCAACTATTTTGTGCTGCAGTTTAGGGGAAGAGGGGTGGTGGAATACTTTTAAGTCAACCACATACATATCCTGGTGCCTGTGGTATGGCGAGCAGGGAGTCAAAACCAGAAACCCACTGCTGTCGAGTCAATTTTGACTCATGGGAGCAGGGGAGGAATATTTTGAGCTCAATTTGCCCATGAGTACTTCTTCTCTTCTCCACATCTCTTTTACTTTTGTTGGGTGGAAAAGGCTATTCTTGATTTGTGAATAACTAGCAACAATGTATGTCATTGCAGTGCCCTTTATATGAAAATCTAAATGAATTCTATACAATAGTTCCCCAAACTACCCACCCACCAGAATTGGTTATCCAGCCTAGTTCCTGCCCCTACTCTCCCAACCAATTCTTATTCACAATCTGAGATTGGAGTAGATAATCTGCATGTCTATACAACCTTCCTTCTGGTTCAGATGCAGAACTGAGATTCTGGGAACTGGAGAGAAGATTTGAATACTTATCCAAGAAGCATTTATTAGCTATTTACTGGGTGCTTAGAACTGTATGGCCTTGAAAATACAGAGATTAAATATAAAGTTGCCCCTTTAAGAGTTTATAGAAGAGAGATAGACGAAAGTATGGCATCCGTACATTGTTCTAAGTGTTGTAATAGAGGCTCAGGGCATTGTGAGGGGGATGTGGTGATGGGGGGTGGTCAGATAAAGTTTCTGGAGGGAGGTTAAGAGATAAGGGAAGTGTGAAGGGCTAGTGGAATGGTTTTTGGTGGAGAGAGAACTGAGTTGAGCGTACAGTTTGCAGAATGCTACCCTGACCATGGAAATAACTTTGTTTTTTTTTTGTATAATCATAATCCTATCAAATGATACAGGAATAGGACAATCTCAACATTCTTTCCAACTCTTTCCCTAGAAAAAAACCACCGCTAATATTATTGGCGTATATTCTTCTAGACTTTTCTTCTTTGTGTGCGTATATTATAAACTTGTAATATTTTTACAAAAATGGGGTCTTACTATACCTATCTCCTTTTCACCCAGTAGATCATGGACATGTCTCACATGTCAGAGCAAGTAGTCTATTTATCCCTGTTTTAGTAGTTGCAAATGATATCCCCTTGTTTAGATGTACTATAATTTGTGTAACTGATACTCTGTTGATGGGCAGGGACCTAATATAATTAGTGCAGCTTTACATCCATTTTGTGTGTGTCTGCATTTTTTCTATTTTCTTGGGTTAAGTTCTCGGAAGGGTTAGGGTTAGGGTCCTACGTTAGCTTTGCAGGTTTTTGAACTTTATGTAAATGGAAACATGGAGTACATTCTTTTTTGTGTCTGGCTTCTTTCACTCAAAATTATATTTGTGCGGTTTATCCATGTTGAGTCTATTTGTAGTTCATTTGTCCTCATTGCGTTATGGTATTCTATTCTGTGAATATACTCTGATTTATTTGTGCATACTACTGTTGATGGGCACTTGGGTGAAAACAATCTTAGGTTTTAATTTTTTGCTAATCTGGTAGTGAAAATGATCTCATTGTAGCAAAAATGATATTGTTTTAATTTGCAGTTTTTAAAGTAAGGTGGCATGCATTTTCAAATGGATAATGAGCCATTTTTATTTTTTAAATAATTGCCTGCTCACTCAAACCATTTTTCTTTTGAGGAGTTATCTTTTTCTTAATGATTTGTTAAGGCTTCTTCTCAATCATTTGGAAGAACTCTTTATAATTCATCTTGTATAACAAGAATTCTTAGTTGTTCTTTGTGCTTAAATTTTGTTAATGTCTTCTGAATATAAGATTTTTTTTTATTTTCATGCTGTCAAATCTGTCAACCTTTTTCTTTCTGGCTTTTGGATTTTCTTTCATGCCGAAAGAATGTGATTTAGTGATATAGATAAAGAGGGAGACCAATATATTATAATTTGAAGCCACATTCAGGAAAGACTATTTCAGAGTGGTTGAAGAAAGGTAAGGATGGTGAAAACATCCCTGCATTTGACAGTTTGCCAGCCTTTGAGAAAGCAGCTTCAGTAGAGTAGTAAGGGTTAAAAAGTTAGAAAATAAGAGAGGTGTATGTGCTAAGAAGTGGAGACAGAAAATACAGGCTTACCTTTTAAAAAGATTGTCAATTAAACGACTAATGGACCACAACTATCACGGCCTCCGCCAGAATGAGTCCAGTACAACCAGATGGTGCCCGGCTACCACCACTGACTACTCTGACAGAGATCACAACAGAGGGTCCTGGACAGAGCTGGAGAAAATGTAGAACAAAACTCTTAACTCAGAAAAAAAACGACCAGACTTAACTGGCCTGACAGAGACTGGAAGATCCCTGAGAGTATGGCCCCCAGACACCTGTTTAACTCAGTAATGAAGTCACTCTCAAATGGAGTTTACCCTTCAGCCAAAGATTGGACAGGCCCATAAAACAAAAAGAGACTAAAGTGGTACATCAGCCCAGGGGCAGGGACTAGAAAGCAGAAAGGAACAGGAAAGCTGGCAATAGGGAACCCAAGATCAAGAAGGGAGAGTGTTGACATGTTGTGGGGTTGTTAACCAATGTCATGAAACGATATGTGTACTAACTGTCTAATGAGAAGCTAGTTTGTCCTGTAAATCTTCACCTAAAGTACAAAAAAAGAAAAGAATCTCCCAGGAAAAAAAAAAAAAAAAAGATTGACAATGAAAAGAACAGGATGGATGATATAGTAGGCTTGAAGAAGAAACTGGGTGATTTTAAAGGCTTTTTTTATTTTTGTTGCTTTTTAAGTGAGACTTGAGAATGAAGAGGCATTGTGGTGGGTTGGCTAGAACGCCTGGGTTTATGTTTTGATTTCTCCCCTAGCCGAATAACCTTGGAAAGCCCTACTTAGGGTGGAAGTAACCTACCAAACAGAACGGTGGTATTAAGCCAAAGAAGTTATTTGTAGAGAGGGAGAAATTGAAGAGGCAAAAAAAGTAAAAGTATACTCTATTGGGCCTGTTTCTAGAGGAGTAGGTAAGGACTGAAAATGCAGGCAGGGAAATTAGCTTTGAAAATGGGGAGAGCACATCTACAACTTCAAAAGATACACAGAAGCAGGTCCATGTGGAGAAATTAAAAAGATCATGTTGTACCTCAGTCTTAGTGAGGTGGGAGATAAAGTATTCAGAGCTGCAAGAATGTAAATTATTGACATTGACAACTGTGGGCCTCAGATAAGAATTACCTAAGAATCAAAAATAAGGAGTTTCTAAATGTTCGGTCTAGGCTGTATCACAGGAGTTTTTATTAAAGTCATTCTCAGTAGGTTATGGCCAGCAACACCTGGCAAGGATTCTTAAACATTTTTGTGCTGTGAGTCCCTTTGGTGGCCTGAAGCCAATGGACCCCTTCTCCAGAATTGTGGTTTGCATGCATGAAATAAAATATTTAGGATTTCAAAGGAAACCAATTACATGTTGAAATACATTTATACAAATATTTTAAAAACAAACAGGTGTATAGTAATGTATGTGATTCTTAATACGATAAATAATAAGATCTAGGGAAAGGACTGCAATTACCATAATTAGTTGGAAAAAAAGTAGCATGAGCATAAATGTTTATTAAAGATATTTGCAACCACTTAATATGGTGTGAACATAGATATGTATTTTTATTGGAAACAATGTCATAGGCCCTGATAATATTATTGTGATTTGTTTCCTATATTCATAATGGACATGACTGCTGAATTTCACCTAGAATTTATTGAAAATAAAAATTAAATTTTTTTTTCCATCCATCATGGACCCTCTAACTTCTATCTAGGATACCTTGGGGACCTATGAAAGATAAGAATATCTGGCTTAGAAACGGGAGTAAAAAACCCGTTGCCATCGAGTTGATTCCAACTCATAGCAACCCTATAGGACAGAGTAGAACTGCATCATAGAGTTTCCAAGGAGCACCTGGTGGATTTGAACTGCCAACCCTTTGGTTAGCAGCCATAGCACTTAACTACCACACCACCAAGGGGGAATAGGAAAAACGAATTCTCCCAAATGGTAGGGTTTAGAGTATAACTGATAATTTCCTGTCCTTATTTTGTATACGTGGTATTTACATCGTGTAGGTGAATATGAAGTAAAATATATTATGGTGATTCTCTCATCTCTCTGCTCCCATCTAGGTTTCTTTCTTTACTCCAAGAAACTTTCCCAAGCCTCCTCTTGCCTACAGAAGCAACTTTACTTTAACCTATCTGCCATCAAAGAAAAGGAGGAGTTAACAATGGTTCAGCTGGGCCTGGACTTGGGACCCAACACTTACTACAACCTGGGACCAGAACTGGAATTGGCTCTGTCTCTGCTTGAGGAGCCTCATGTTGGGGGAGAGGGTGAGGGTGGGGGCAGTTCCCTCCCTAAGATGGGTAAAATGTTAGCATTGCAGTCAGTGCCATGGCCCCAAGGCGTCCTTTACTTCAACCTGTTGCATGTGGCTAAGGATTGGAATAACAACTCCAAGAAGAATTTGGGTTTGTTCCTGGAAATCCTGGTCAAAGGGCACAGAGATACGGAGGTGAATTTCCAGCCTGAGGACACCTGTGCCCGACTAAGACATCTCCTTCATGCTTCCCTGCTGGTGGTGACCCTCAACCCTGAGCAGTGTCACCCTTCACCCCGAAAAAGGAGGTCAGCCATCCCTGTCCCTAAGGCTTCTTGCAAGAACCTCTGCCATCGTCACCAGCTGTTCATCAACTTCCGGGACCTGGGTTGGCACAAGTGGATCATTGCCCCTAGGGGATTCATGGCAAACTACTGCCATGGAGAATGTCCTTTCTCACTGACCACCTCTCTCAACAGCTCCAATTATGCTTTCATGCAAGCTCTGATGAGTGCCGCTCATCCAGACGTCCCTCACGCTGTCTGTATCCCCACCAGGCTGTCCCCCATTTCCATGCTCTATCATGACAATGATGACAATGTCATTCTACGACATTATGAGGATATGGTGGTTGATGAGTGTGGGTGTGGGTAGACTGCCAGAAATGAGAATAGAACGAGAGTTTTTAGAGTAGATCTTCTAATAAAACTACCTGTTTGGTTTATGACCTCTTGAATCTGAAATGTCAAGTTACTTACATTTACAATTTGTCTTGGAAAATCCAGGATGGAGAATAGAGAATATTATTATTAATGATGCCCATAATTGCGCGCACGCGCGCTGGAACCCTAATGATCTTAGTTAACTTTCTGCTCTAATATCCTCATTATGTGCTATGCACATGACAACATATTAGATCCTAAATAGAAGGAAATGGGCGTTTGATGATGGCTTATTATGGGCCAGGCATTATTCTATGTGTTCCTTTTTAAACCATCTTGCTGTTTGAGATAGGCATTTTTATTTATACTTCACAGATGAAGAAGCTGAGTTATACCAAAAAAAAAAGAAAAAAAACCCTTTGCCATCAAAGTCAATTCCAACTCATAGCGACCCTATAGGACAGAAAAGAACTGCCCCATAGGATTTCCAAGGTGGATTCAGACTGCAGATCTCTTGGTTAACAGCAAAACTCTTATCTATTATGCCACTAGGGTTTCCAGCTGAGATTTAGAGAAGCCAAATAATTGATTTTTCCAAGGTTACTAGCGTTTTCTGGGAGAGCTCATCTATTGATGGTATTATTTAAAAGAAAATCATTTTGAGAAAATATGAAAAGCATAGAAAAATATATCAAAATATTACATGATCTTACAGTTTTCTACATTTGTTCCTGATCTTTTATTGATATAATTTCTATAGCTCAAGCACACTGTGCATATAATTTTGATTTTCTTCTTTTCACTTAAATTATAGGAATTTTTTTCAAGTCACCAACATCTACATAGTTAATAATGGCTATTCTATATACAGTTGTTTAGGTATACCATAATTTACTTAAGTTGAGTTGCATAATTTACTTACTTAAATTCCTTAAGCTAAGGAGTTTACTTAATTTCTAAAGTTGCAAGCGGGTGCGAAAAGCCCAACTGACCACAATTCCTGAGGCTGCATTATTAAATTTACTTCAGTTGAATTTTTACTGCCAGATTTCCTTAGTCTAATAATCAGGTTTTGAATTTTGAGTCTCAGTGTATCATATCATTTTAAAAAATTATTGAAAGTTTAGTAACTATTTTTTTCCATTAATTCTTTGCTTGGTAGGTTGGTTCAGCTTCTGAGTTAATCAAATTATCTCCTGAGGCCATTATCATGCCCAACGCTAGAGAGGAACATGCTTTACTAGCTTCATGGTTTAAGCAGACCCACACGATTCTATTTCTCTTTTAGAATCTTCAATGTCTGTCAGAACTAGTCTACAAGTAGGCAGAGTATGATCTATAAGTCAAGTGATGTGCTATGATTTGAGTAGGATAGGCAGAGTAGACCCTGGATTCCAAAATATAAATACATTTTGCACACTTGTATAGCACAACTATCTCAGAGCATTTTCAGATTCATGATCTTATTTAACAGCAGACCCATCTACTCATACACAAGTCATTTATTTCATTCAATTCAGTGGGACATTAACTGAATGCCTCGAAATGTAGAAAGATAGAGAAGGCACAGATTCTGCCCTGGAGTAGTTTATCATAAAATTGTGCTTTCCCAAATCAAGTAAGGCCTGATATTTGCTTCTTTAAAAATAAGAAATGGGTTATAAACATCAGCACACCACAGTAATTCAAAGATTATTTTCTCACCCCTTTATTCTCAATAAAGGCCTGGTGTTGCAGTGGTTAAGAGCTCGGCTGCTAAGCAAAAGATCGGCACTTCAAATCCACCAGCCACTCCTTGGAAACCCTATGGAGCAGTTCTATTCTGTCCTTTAGGGTCCCTATGAGTCAGCATCAACTTGACAGCAATGAGTTTGGTATTGGTTGGTTATTGTCTTAGTCTGGGTTCTCTAGACAAGCAAAACCAGTGAAGTGTTTATATATACATAGAGAGAGACTTATATCAAGGAAATAGCTCACGAGGCTGGACAGACCAAAGTCGGTGGGTCAGGCTGGAGGCTTCTGAGTCATGTAGCTCCAAGGGCTGGCAAACACAAGATCAGCAGTTCAGACAAAAGGCCTCTGACTGAGGTTGTGGAAGCCAAAAAATCCCAAGATAGGCAGGTAAGCTGGCAGACCCCTGGCTCACAGACTGTGGAGGCTGACATATCCCGAGACAGGTAGGTAAGTTGCTAGTTCAAGTTCCAAGAACAGGAGGTCAGATGAACAAGAGCCAGCTGCAGGCTCCAAAGTGAGCGAAAGCCAGCCAGCCTTGCCAGAAAGTCCAACTATACTGGATGCAGGCCAACCCTCAAGGAAACTTCCTTTCAACCAATTGGCTACTCACAGCAGATCCCATCATTGAGGTGATCACATTATATCAGATCTCATCACAGAGGTGATTACATCATAGGACTCTCAAACTACATTGTAACTGCCACACACTGAGAATCATGGCCCAGCCAAGCTGACACACAACCTTAATGATCACAGTTGTTCTCTATTCTAAACAATGTAAGTACTGTGCTTCTAAGTGGAATACTTGGAGCTCATGCTCATTAAAAGGAGCACTGGTGAAGCAAATGATTACCCCTCAACTGATACTCAAAAGGTTGGCAGTTGGAACTCACCCAGTGGCTCCATGGAAGAAAGCCTTGGCAATCTACTCCTCTAAAAACTACAGGCAAGAAAACCCTATGGGGCAGTTCTACTCTGTCACATGGGATCGCTATGAGTAGAAATCGACTCAACGGCACCTAACAACAAAAATATACTCATTAAAATTCTAACCTATTGACTTTTGAGAAGAGTTTTGATTGAAAATAGGATTCTGCCTGTATGGGAGAGAGGCAAGTTCTATTGCTTATTGCCTTTTTTTAGGGTAGAAACGATTGGCATCAATTACAAAATCAAATACATTCCACTATTACAAGTGGGTTTAATGGGCAGATAGATTCGTATCTCTCTGTCTCTCTTTTCATTTGTTTGTGTAACAACATTAAACAGCAAGCTGAGATAATTATGTTTGAACAAAAGTTTTTCACAGAAATTTTGCAATCATTTTCAATGTTGCATTAAGCGAAATTTATCTTTCTGTAAAAGGTGCACAAGGACCTTAGGGATAATTACTTGAAAACTATTGTTTTAACTACAAATGATTATTATTATTGCTCAAAAAATTAATAATTATGCAGTGAATGCTATGTGGGCTTTGGATTTCTGATGAGGCTATTCCCCCAAGTCTTCTGAAAAAATAGTAAATAGCTGTTGTGAAAGGGAAGAGATGATAACTACTACATGTATAAACAATACAAATGGAAAATGAAAGCAAGGAGTCCATTTAAGAAAGAAAGGCTGCTTTTGGTATCGGTATTTAAAAATAGTAGGATTTTGATAGATGAAGGTAGGAGCTTGCCATGAGGGAATTTTAGCTTAGAGAAAAGTGAGAGCAAAGTCAGGAAATAGGTGGAAGAAATTGAAGAGTTAAGGAGTTTTAGAAATTTATTTTGAGAGTTGGCTCTGCTAATTGTGTTGCTTTTTTAAAAAAATATTTTATTGTTGTCACGGATTGAATTGTGTCCCCAAAAAATACCTGTCAACTTGGCTAGGTCATGATTCCCAGTATTATATAATTGTGTACCATTTTGAAATCTGATGTGATTTCCTTACGTGTTGTAAATTCAGTCACTATGCTCTAATAAGATGGATTAGCAGCAGTTATACTGATGAGGCATACAAGATTGGATAGTGTCTTAAGCCAATCTCTTCTGAGATATAGAAGAGAGAAGCGAGCAGAGACAGACAGGACTTCATACCACCAAGAAAGCAGTGCCAGGAACAGGGTGCGTCGTTTGGACCCTAGGTTCCTGCGCAGAGAAGCTCCTAATCTGGGGTAAGATTGATGAGAAGGTTGACAGAGAGAGAAAGCCTTCCCCTGGAGCTGCCACCCTGAATTTGGACTTTTAGCTTACTTTACTGTGAGGAAATAAACTTCTCTGTTAAAGCCATCCACTTGTGGTATTTCTGTTAAAGCAGCACTAGATGACTAACACAGAATTTAGTACTGAGAGTGGTTCTAGAGAAACAAAATTGTAAGGATGAGTTTTCTAAATTGGTTCTCAAGTCTGGTTAGTCTTAAAGATGTTGATGACTCTGCTCCCAGCAGTAAAGAGGGCACTGCTAGTCCACGGCGTGAGATGGTGATACAAATACACAAAATATCATCACCAGTGGATCAGGTATTGGTGAAAGGTGAGGTTCAGGGTGAACGTATGTGTGATATCTTTCTACAGCTTTGTCAGAATGAGAAGTATAAGGAAGCTAGTTGGTTTGTCCTACTTTCGCTAGACAAACTGGTGAAAGAAAGAGATGCGCTCAGACCTTCAGAGTCAAAGCTCAAGTGCCACATAAATAACCTCAAGGCTTTCACTTGTGCTTTGAAAGAAAGCTTTATTTCTTGTAGTAACAGAGCTGAAATTGCCGAAAACCAAACCCAGAGTCTTATTGTAAGAGTGGCTGAATTACAATGCCAGCTCAATTGCCAACCTCGAGAGGCATCTGAAGTTAAAGTAAGGGCATTGATTGGGAAGAAATGGGATCCCGAAACTTGGGATGGGGACATATGGGCAGATAATCAGGAAGCTGGGGACACTGAGCCCATAAATTCCATTGAATCACTCCTGCCAGCAGAACTAGTCCCATCTGAAGAGATTACTTCATGTTTGTCTGCTAAACCACCCTGCCCAGAAAACCATTAGCCCCTCCACTCCAGTCTAATGAGATTAGCCCTAGCCCAGCTGCTTCTAAAGAGCCTTTGCCTGAGTCATTGCCTGGGGCATCGCCTGAGGCAAATGCTTTACAAGACAATGCTGAATGTTCTCAAAACAAGTCCACACTACTGATTCTGGCTTCTAGACCTATAACTAGGCTTAAGTCCCAGCGAGCCCCAAAAGGTGAAGTGCGAAGTGTGACCCAGGAGGAGGTACGCTACACTCCAAAAGAACTAC